CACGCCGCGCTGCGGGTCTTGGGAGCCAGGACGCCTGGGTTCTCTCCCCAGCTTTGGGAGAGGAGAGGAGGGGAGGGGGGGCTAGTGGCTAGAGCAGGGGGCTGGGAGCCAGGACTCCTGGGTTCTCTCCCCAGCTTTGGGAGAGGAGAGGAGGGGAGGGGGGGCTAGTGGCTAGAGCAGGGGGCTGGGAGCCAGGACTCCTGGGTTCTCTCCCCAGCCTTGGGAGGGAAGTGGGGTCTGGTGGGTCAGAGCAGGGGGGGCTGGGAGCCAGGACGCCTGGGTTCTCTCCCCAGCTTTGGGAGAGGAGAGGAGGGGAGGGGGGGCTAGTGGCTAGAGCAGGAGGGCTGGGAGCCAGGACGCCTGGGTTCTCTCCCCGGCTCTGGGAGGGGAGTGGGGACTAGTGGCTGGAGCGAGGGAGTGTGGTTATGTTTGGTTCGGGGCCCCATATTCTGACCCTTGGGTCGCTCTGTGTTTGCAGCTAAGCGAGCGCTACGGCCCCGTCTACACCCTCCACCTGGGCCCCCAGCGGATGGTGGTGCTGTGCGGCTACCAGGTGGTGAAGGAGGCCCTGGTGGACCAGGCCGAGGCCTTCAGCGGGCGCGGGGATCTGCCCGTGTTGTTCCGCTTAACCCAAGGAAACGGTAAGGATTCCCCTCCCCCGCCCCTTCCCGGCTTTCAGCCGCTCAACCCTCCTGCAGACACGGGGAAGTGGGGCAGGACCCACAGAGGGGCCGGCTGGCCATGCGGCTTAGGCACTGGACTGGGAGCCAAGACCCCCGGGTTCTCCAATAACCTGCTGGGTGACCCCTCCCCCGCCCCGACCAGTCATTTCCCCGTGCTCTGCCTCAGTTTCCCCTCCCACCCTTTGTCTGTTTAGATTGTAAGATGCTCCGGTGGGATCTGGATTCAATTCCCATCTCGCTGGGCCTCCGTTTGCCCACTTATAAAATGGGGATAATCATTCATCTCCCGCAGAGCACTTTAGATCAAGAGTCAGTGTCACCGGCCATCTGCGGGTGACCTGGTGGGACGGAGCAGGGAGCGGGCGGGAATGTTGCAGGGGGGTAACATTGGGGATGGGAAGGAAGCTACCTGAGATGTAACCTGAGCCGGGAGGGGGTTGGGAGAAGTGACACCTTCTGCCGGGGAGACTGGACAAGGGAGAGGAGGAGCAGAGGGGAGGGGGAGAGAGCTGCTGGAGGGTTTGGGTAGTTTGAGTTTGGTGCTGGGTGGTGGAAGGCAGGGAACCCCCAGGCTGGGGTCTAAGCTCCCTGAACCCCCCAGAAGGTCTTGACGGAGGGGTCCTGGCTGTACCTACAAGCTCTGTTGTAGCTTGTGTTCCTACTGTCCACGAAACCTTCCGTTTTACTGGCTGGCTCAGAGTCCCGGTGAATCCCAGGAAGAGGGGTGCAGGGCCCTGACTCCCCCACACT